ATAATAATAATAATAATAATAATAATAATAATAATAATAATAATAATAATAATAATAATAATAATGATAATGATAATAATAATAATAATAGTAGTAGTAGTAGTAATAACAATAATAATAATAATAATAATAATAATAATAATAATAATAATAATAATAATAATAATAATAATAATAATGAGGTTAATCATGGTAGCCTATAAATTATCTATATTATCAGTTAGCTATGTTATTGTCGTTGTTATAATAACATTATCATCATTAATTAAATTTAAATTTTATTTCGTTATTTGGAAAGTCATTATTGTTAACACATTCTTATATATCTCATTTCAAAGAGCATATTTGGCTTAACAACCATTTTTCCAGAATTGTCTATATCATTATTTTGGCGTGTCATTTGAGACAGTGTCCAACAAAACCCATCTGTCTCAAATTTATGTAGTATATATTAATCTACAATCGGTGAAAATATTAGACTCTGTTTGCTTAAAAAAAAATGGGGGATATCTTCTTTTCGATTTACCTAGCAAATAACGAATATCTGATATTCTGTTTATGAATATGAAGAAAGGATTTCACGCGCGTGAATTTAAGGATTAGGGGCCAGTGTCACGACCAAAAAATATTTTTTAACCATAATAACAAAATTCATGTCACCAGGGCTGGTTGCGTAAAGATGTTAAAGTCCTAATTTGGCAATAATTGTCTTGACTTAACATATGAATGACTAAATAGTTTAGTCAGTTTAGCCAAATGCTCATTTAGGTTACGCGGCTAGTCCTGTCAGTGATAAATAACTGGAGATTATTATTATAATAATAATAATTGTCCAAAGATTTTCAATATTTTAAATTCTATATAAAAAAAAATAAGGTTTTAAAGGTATATAGTAACTAAACTTCGACTTTATAGCCATACATATTATTTACAGGAAAAGTTTGATTAAATGGTACCCAGTTTTGGTTGAATGAACCCATAACGAGCAACTTTTTTAAGACTGACACGAATGTTCGTAATAACGCCCAAAGAAGTTTAAATTTTATGAAAACTAGTTTTTATTTTTATAAAATGAATGAACTACTTACGTGAATCACGTGAACAAAATTTGATCATGTCGATCATATGTTGAATTCATTTCGAATACCCATAATAATTATTATGAAATAATTTTTTTCTTTATAATTTGAAAATATTTGAAATAATTATATTCGAAAACGAGCATTCAAAATAATATTCGAAATTCGCATTTTTGAATTACGAATATTCGAATAGGTTCAGGAATCAAGATTTCGGGAGAAATCCAACTATTCTCCCAATCCTAAATATTAAAATTTCCGAAATATCCGAAGCCATGTAATCATGCAATCAATTTCTGGTCAATAATTTTAATCGGGTTATTCATTAATTGGATTTTGATAATAAACAATAAATAACATCTACTTCATTTATTAATACTATTTCTATTATTACTTCGTCTGATGGATGATACCTTAGTATTATCTGTGCCCCAAAAAATTGGTGGAAAACCAAGGTTGATTGATTGTAAAATTAAAAGGGAAAATTTTGATGCTGTTAAATAAAATATACATTACAAATTTATTAATTTGAAAATTAAAATTTCAATACAATGGCTCTGATTTAAACGTTAGATAAAGCGAATATTGCTCTGTTCAAGTCATAATCATTATCTTCAAGTGCTTTTATAGCATTTTCTCTTGGAAAACCCATCTCTTTTAAAGTTTTTACATAATCTATATCATCGTCATTATCATTATTAATGGTGGTGGCAGTAGGTATAGGAGATTTGAAATTCCCTTGAAAAAATGCATTTTCAAAAGCACCTCCGAATGCAGAATCAAAAACTGCATTATTCGCATTTATTGGTTTATTAATATTCTTTGAAGCTAAAGGATCAAAAAATGAAATATCATTATCTGAGCCAAATAAACCAAATGTTGATGATGATGATGATGACGATGTATTAAATGTTCTTGATGATGATGATGATGAAGACGTATTAAATGTTGTTGATGATGATGATGTGTTAAATGTATTATAATTATAATTATCATTATTGTTATTGTTATTGTTATTGTTATTGTTATTGTTATTGTTATTGTTATAATTATTGGTAAAAATAGAATCGAAATTTTCTGATGAACGAGCATCTTTGGTATTAGTCGAAGGTTTCATCAATCCTTTTAATAAGTCAGTTGGCTTGTTTTTAAGTGTATTTTCGACTTTATCTTCATTCATATATGGAGAAATAATCTTTTCATCTGGTTTGGTTGTGTCAAAATGATTTGTCTTGTTTTCTTTTTCAAAATTAAAATTATTACCAGGTGTTAAACCTTCAAGTTCCTCTAAAGAAGGAAATTTCTCGGAATTAAAAGTGTCAGTTAAGAATGAATCATCACCATTATTCTTATTTGTAACTTCAAGCGTTGCGAACGCAGAATCAAGACCTGATTTGTCTGATGCTGCATTTTTAAAATTGTCAAAATCAAATGGATCGATGGCCGAAGTTGTGCTATTTTTAATGTGAGTTTGTTGGAGTTTATTTTCGCCTTGCCCATTAAAAAAATCAGCTGAACTTTTTCCTGGTTCATTAAACATTGATTGAGAAGCATTAAAGGAATTATGATTTGATGACGTTGTCGTTAGTGGTGTAGAAACGAAAGGATCCTTGTTGATATCAGGTAGATTGTTACTTTTTTCAAAAGTTTTTAAGACCTCCAATGACTTTTCTCTTTCAGCTTTGGAAGTTTCCAATTGTTTTTTATTAATCATAAGTAAACCTTTTTGTTGTGCACTGTCTTTTTGAAAGTCTTTAACTTTGGCGTTAATTGATACTGTTTCTTCTTCGATTATTCTCAATTCCTTTCTCAATTCATTTATTTCATCTTTATCTTTTTGAATATTTTCTTCTAATTGTTCCTTTTGCAATTTCATAGCAGCTAAAGCTCTTTTAGCTTGTGCATGCTCTTCTTTAACTCTCTCAAAATTCTCATTTTCCAATTGATATTGGATTTGAATTTCTTCTACTGCCTTAAATTCAGCTTCATACAAAGAGCGTGTTTGTAAGAAAAGATCTTTTATTTCTTGTTTTTGTATTACTAAATCAGCAAGAGTTGAATTTAAACTGGCTTTTTTGTTTTCTAGTTCATCACTTGAATTGCCAAGAATATTAATTTGGGTTTCATAACTTTTTATTTCACTACTTTCATTTGCAATTTTAGTATGTAAATCAGAGTCGCCAAAAAAATCAATCATTTGTGGTTCTGTGAATCATTCCCCCCCAAAAAAATTAAAATACTTTTTATTAAAATTTTATATGAATATTATAATGATAATTATAACAAATTTAAATATTTATAATATACCCTTAATAACACGACTATCTGAAATAAAATTATTTTGCGAGTCTGTAGGATCATTTAAACCAAAGAAGTCTTCTGTTGAATAACGTGAGATCGATGATGAAGTTGATCCAATATCTTTTTTTGAAATATGACCAAGAGTTGAAGATCCCTCTAAATCAAAAAAATGACTAGCTGTTTTGTATCGATTGTTTTAAAATTTAGATTTATATTATATATATATATAAATGTTAATAATGATGATTTTATTTTCAGATGATTTTTATTTAGGAAAATTTTACCAGTAGTATGACGCATTGATGGTGGAGTAAGACTTGTTGGCAAAATGTTTGGTAATGGAAATCCTTTAGCCTTTTTTTGGATCAAATGCATAGCAACAGCAAATTTCTCATGATTAAGACGTCCAGTTTTATCTATGTCAGAAAGGTTCCTAAAAAAAAAAAAGTACAAATATAAATATATTATTTACAAAAAAAAAAATATATTTTTTTTTAAAGAAACACTAAACGAACTACAACCATATCATTGCCAATGTGTTTTGATCCAAATTTGATTTCACAAAAAATTTTGCTGCCTCGTCACCTATACCAATTTAAAATCTAAATTTAAAGAAAAAATTATATATAAATCAAAAAAAAATAAAAAATGTTATTAACCTGTTAAAAATCCATGTTTCATTTGATCAATAGAATCAAAAATTTTATCATATTTTGTTTTTTCTTCGAGTGTCACATCCCATGAATGTTCTATAAATGGAGATTTTGTATTAAATCCATCTGGATTTAAAGAAGGAGTTAATGAATTTCCAGAAAAAAGTGATGGTGATGTTGATGATGCAAGTACATCAAGATTAACGCCGGCAGCCATTTCATAAAATCCACTTGGAAGAGTTTGTGGTATTTCTTTGATATTTTTGGACATATACTGTTTTATTAGATGCATTGCAATGATAAATTCATTTACATCAAGTCTTCCTCTATTTTTTGTGTCTGCTAGTTTCCTAGATAATTTAATTATAAATATTGCATCAACCAAAAAAAAATTTTTAATAAATAAATAGATTATCTATTTATTATCTATTACCAAATTTGAAAGAGTGTTTCTGATGATAATTTAGATTGCAAAAAAATTTCTCTTGCCTTGTCACCTTTAAAAAAAAATTTTTACTAAAAATAATAATTGCGTAATATAATATATAACCTATATATAAAATATTCATTTATTTATTAATTTAAATTACCATCCACAAGGTCATCTTCATGCTTCAATCTTGAGAATGTTTTTTTGTAATTTTCACGATTATCATCAGTAATAATATAGGCTGTTTCTATGTTAATATCCTCAAAACGTGGTAATGGTACCTCTAAAGAAAAACTTTTTTAAAAAATATTCATAAACTAAAAAATTCTTGAAGAATACACAAAAAAACATACTAGCTTTTAACAGAGCCATATCAGGATTTTGACCATTTTGAACCAAAGCAATTAATTTAACAACAATAATAAAAGTTTGTGTTGTTAAAACACCTTGATTCTCATAATCAGCTAAATTCCATATCTATATCAATCAAATATAATTATTATTAAAAATATTTTTCGTTGTGGTAATAAAAACTAAATATTTGCTTACTTTACTCAAAGCAGCCGAAGATAAATTTGATTTTTTCAAAAAATTCGCAGCATGTGTTCCATCAATATAACCTTTTTTCTCTTCATCAGCTATTTGAAATAATTGTTGATATATATATTTTTCTTCAGGATACAAAATAATTTCCGGTCCTTTGATAAACATAATAATTAGTAAAAGGAGTATGATCAATAGTAAATAATACGAATTGATTATTATTATTATATCAGATATACCCTTTTTCCTTAATTGTGACATTGATTATGTTTAAAGGCTCATTTATATCTTAATAAATTGTGCTCTATTGGATTTGACGAAACTTGTCTTAAAATTATTGAAATAATGTTAGACTCATACTTGATGTGTGTTCCTACGGTACATGAAAAACCAGGTTACTTCCGCAGTTGGCTCAACAATGTAAAAATTACCAAATTCGGAAAATGATTTATTATTTGGATAACACAATAAATTGCAAGTGTTATTAAAAAAGATTAATTTATTAATGTCATTAAATTGTATTAAATTTTATTAGTTTATGTAAAAAAATAATATGAATTTGTGTGATTATTGTAGGTGAATGGATGTATCGGGGATGTACGGGGGGGATGAATGGATAAGTGTGTACTTTTTAAAATTGTCTCCAAATTCTTTGCAAATCATGCTCGCTAGAAAAACTTCCACCATTATTAACAACATTTTTACCATTATTACTACTGCTGCTGCTATTACTACTATTATTATTATCGGTATTTTCATTTTCCAAATCAATAAAATAAAGCCTTCTGCTATTTTCTGCTACGTTGCTGACTACCCTTTTATTGGTAACATCATTATGTCTGCTATCACTATTGTGTCTTCTACTTGAATGTAGTCTGTCATTGTGTCTTCTATCATCATGTCTCCTGTAGCCATTGTGTCTTCTTTCTCTTTCATATGAAGAATCACTGTGTCTTCTACGGCTCTTTGAAGTCCTTTTTCCTTTTGTGGAGTCCTGTAAACTATGACGTTTTATTTTTTTTTGATTGTCTGAAAATGTAGCAGAAAATCGATCATTATCGGCATCACTTTCCGTCAAAACTTCAATTGTTATTGCCTCAGAATCTACCGTGTCCCTTGAGATTCTTTTTATTTTAGTGTTGGTAGCTGTGTCAAGATAGTCGGATGTTTCATCATCGTCTAGATCCTGATAATAATAACAACAAGGTAACAATAATATAGTAGATTTTTTTGTGCCAAAGATCAAAAAAATATATATTCCACTTTATGTGCCGTACAACACACACACACACACACACATTCAATTAAAATAATTTTTTAATTTTAGTAAGGTTTATATATAAGATAATAATAAAAAAATAGTTTTTTAACATTGGTTATTACTCACAATAGTGAACTATTAAATTTTCCAATATAATAATAATGTTTAGATTTTTCATCTGATTTGATTTGTTGCATTATTTCCAATATTAAATAAAAACACACGCCTATACAATACAAACAGACATAAACAATCATTCTAACCGCGTGATCCAATTCATTTGCAGTCTTTCGATTTGGATTCTTTTTATGAACTTTCCATCTTTGCCATATTATCATCGTGGAGCGTACTAAATAAACCCATATATATTAATAACATATCAAATCTTTTTATTTTGAAAAACTCTTCATATAACTTACTTGTGAAAAATAATGAAATAGATGCTATCGTTAATGTAATTCCTTGAAAAAGCCAATCCAAATACCGTTTTGATCTAAAATTATAAGTTCCTTCACACGATAAATTTGTCGCCACCACGCCCCAATTATCTTCAAACCTTGATACTGTCAATACCGTTGAACTATAGATGAAAGAAAACCCCCAAATTAAAATTGTAAAAGTCCAGAAATGATTATTTTCAACCTCTGAATTTGAATTAACGGTTCCGGACCATAAATAAAATGCCAAAACGCATGGAAATAAATATAATGGATAAAAGAAAAGGTTCGACAGCTTCTGCTGAATAATGCAAATTGGTTTGTCTAAAGCTTCTAATATATTATCACCGTATTTTAGTATTGTTAATACTGAGAATATACTATTACCTAACACTGCTAAACATAATTGAAATATTGTCCATTTTGTTGAATGTGAAGGTGATTTTAATAATACAAGTATCAATAATATTATTGACATTATACTTATGAAATGAAATATTATAAAAATAACACTTGGTAATGAATAATTTGTCATTATTATTATTATTATTCTAATTGTTGTTGTGGTTGATTTGATTGTTATTACGATTATTAAAGAATGCAATTATTTCAATTATTTTTGAGAGTTGTCGGACGCTTTAACATTTATAATTAAAAAAAAATGTCAAAACGTCCAACGTCAAAAATTCATTATTATTATATTTTTCTTTTCTCCCATTTTTCTCGGTTTTATTTCCTGATCTAGTACTAATTAATGTATTGAAAATTAAATTTTCATAATATGGTGAAACATTAGTATTTAATGCTTCCGAAAAAAACCCCGGCTACTAATATTAATGCTAATACTAATACTCAAATCAACTAGATTATTTTCCGTTTTTGAGATGTCGCCTGACATTAATTTTTTTTTTACAATCACTAATGCACTAATACTAATTAGTAATTGAGCAGGTTTGTGAAATTATAATACTACCATCGCCATTGTTGGGTGCATCTCATTCCACTTTACCACCATTCTCGTGAACCTACCTATACATACACAAACCATTAGCATCAGTTAATATATACTGGCCAACACTTCTTTAACACACTCTCAATATCAAAAAAGATCCAATGGAAGTTTCTCCTAGTTAGACTTAACAAAATAGAAAATAGTTGGTAATTCATTATATTTCATCATATATGTTTTTTCCACTTGTTAACAATTAATTGTGTATTGAATCTATAATTATAATTACATGATTTTATTGGTATTGTTGGGGTGTTAATTGCAAATGCAAATTCACATTTTCACGCACAACAGTATTAAATATTATGTTATAATTTAAAATTAAAAATCTATAAATTAATTTTTTTTTCAAAATAAATAAATAAATCTATTGTTACAATTTCTGAATTGATTAAACCAATATTCATTAATGTTAATTGTTTGTTTATTTTTCTTTTCTATTTGTAAGTGTTGGAGTATCTTCAGCATAATAGCTTCTATTATTGATGATGATGGTGACGAGGAGGTATTATTATCGTTGAAATTTATCAATGTATTAATGTTGTTAGTAGTGTCATCAGTTATTTCATTATCATCATCATCATCATCACCACCACCATTAATTTTTATAAATGTATTGTTGTTATTATCATCATTGACGTGTTATTATTATGGTGCATATTTTCCATTCAAAATACTCAAAAATATATTAATAAATTTCTTTGGTTCCATTTTCATTTGATTTAAATTTGCATAATTTGTGACCACTTCAAAAACTCTCATCATAATATCAATGTCTCTTAAATAATTCTGTGACAGAGCCATTGCTTTACGTTTCTCAGCTAGGTCAACACAAAACAAATCACGTGGATCAAATGTTGGTTCATCAATTTTATCAGTTGGTGGGCATAATGATACTTTAGATTGAAGATCTTGACCGCGATATACTAAAGTTTTAAATGTGGTAAGATTTCCCCATAAATCCAACACGGGTAAATCTTTATATTTGGCTAGTTGACCACCAGGCAATTCCTTGAAAATAATGTTCTTATTCATTAACGGCACATCAAATATGGAACCTGGGGCAGGTTTATTTTTTCGGGCACGAATATGTATTCCATTCTCGGCATGATTTGTGGAGAAACTAGTGTAATTACTAAAGTTTGGATACAACATTACATAACCACGAAGATATATCAGTTCAATAAGGTATTTTTTCCAAGACTCTTTCCAAAAATTCGATCTACTAAGCGGTACTTTTATATCCTGAATTTTGTAGTTGTTGACATCATTTAGACGAACAGCAAGATATTCGTGAAACTCACGCCATATTTCTGGAAAGTAGACTGCTCCCCAACTACAAGGAACCTGACATAGGTATGGCGATCCACTTTTATATTTTGATTTGTTTAATATGAGGTCTGCAGAAAATTTTCTACGGCCAGGAAGTGGAAGCTCCATTTGTTTCTGATTATATAAACTCAACCCATACATTCTTTTACTATATTCTCGGTCTGGTCCGTATCTATACTTTAAAATTACATATTTTGTCCAAATATAATAATATGGTGACAGTTCAACATCATCCTCCAACAGAACAGCATAATCATTATAATTATAAGGATAATATGCTTCAACTACAGCAGGCATCAAACCACCTTGAACCACTCTGTGTCTAATGTTTTTTACACCATGTTTCCATTTAAATTTATTTGAAAGGGATATTGTGTTATTCTTTGCTCCTTTGTCCATGTTAATTGTTAATGAAATTTCCTCTCCAAAATAGAATGATAAATTCAATGAATTCACAAGACGTCTCAAGGATTTAGGCCGATTTTGTGTAAGTACCTGTAATTGAATTTTTGGCAAATTCCAATCTAAAAATAAATAATTGATGATGATATTATTATTGTTGTTGTTTTAACATAAAAATAAAATAGAATTATGACCTTTTATATATATATATATATATGTTTAATTACTTTTTAATGCTTTAAATGGCAAGTCAGCAATAATATCTATCGCATAATGTACTTCTTTCAAAGGTAATTGTATTTTGGTAATGTTTTTTATTTCATTTGCAGCAATTGTTATTCCTTGGATTACCTCATCTTTTGCAATTTTAGAATAGAATATAACTTGTGGTTTTAGGAACTGTATTATACGACCAACACCATGAAAAACTTTTATTTTTAATTCAATATCATCATTTCTAGAAATTCTGTTTCGGGATTCTGTTTTAATGTCTAAATCATAGATTTCTATATTTTTACATTCTGAATATTGATTTTCCACAAGAGAAGATCTTAGTTTCGAGGCAGACATTCCTCGTGAATTACCAGTCACCACCACATTTATCAAATTATCATTGATCAATGATAATCTGCAAAATAATGGTCTAAACATTTTTTCCTGATAATAACCATCAATAACAAACAATATTCTGTTCAATTCTGTATTCTTTAACAATGATTCTTTAAACACCAGAGGATAACCATGTTCGATTTGATTGTTCCAAATAGCATTATTATCCAGTTTTGATTGTAGATCTTCACATGTACTCTGTTGTATAGAATTCCTGTCACCCCAAGATTCTTCATCATGAGTAGGTAGGATGTAAGAAGGTATATTTGCATGATATTTGAGAACATAAGTGAAATAGAAACCAAAGGGAACACTCGCATCATCCAATACATTTTCTCGAAACAGTGTAGGGATCCATAGTTTTTTGAAAAACCAAATATTAGTCAACATATCAACTTTCTGAGAACTGGTGACCGAATCTAACACTTGAATATGATTGTTTGAATGTAATTTGTGGTCAGCCAGACAAACCAATGATTTTTGGTTGACTAATCCACCATTAACTTTAATGTATGCACCCATAGTTCCCAATAGAGCATTACTATATTCATTGGTGTTTGCAACATGAAGCATGTTCTGAATAAATCTTTTGCCAAGTACCACACCAGAATCCAAAAGAAGTACATGAGTTGTTTTTATATTTTGTGCAAGTTGTAGCCAACCTAGTAATTTTAATTTACCCGCGTCCATAACGTGAATAGATATTATAAGATCATTGTGTTTCTTCCTGATTAGATACTCGATTTTATTCACGATTCTTTTTGATGTAATTATTATTATATTTTCTGGTTTTATTGTTTGATTTGATATCGAATTCAATTGTGCTTCAATACTGTCATGATCGTTAACTATTGAAATGATTGTTAATTCAGAAGATAAAGGTAAGTATGATTTCCGGCCAGAACTTAAATTTAATAATTGCGAGTATGTGTGTCCATTCAACATTGATGTATTTACTTTTCCATAAATCTCTTCAAGCCAACTGTCTGGATCTATATGTGAGTGTAAGTTAATATGAATGTATCAGTAAACATATTAATTAAAAAGTGTTATTTATACTCATTAATAAACCTTTATGAATTTGTGGTTTTTGTAATGTTTGAATTTCATAATCTATATATTTAGTGGTTGTAAGTATAAATGTGAAATAAATGGATAGTAGTGACAGTGTAATGGCGATTAATGATATTAGTTTATGTACGCGAGTTAAACGACACGTTAAATTTTCGCGTTTTTTAAAGGTTTGATGATAATAAGGTAAACGACCGTGGGGTGGTAACATTTTTAAAAAAAATTTTTTTTTAAAAAATTATTAAAACAATTAATATAATGCACATGTATGACGCGCGTTCAACAAAAAAAAAGTCGATCAATAATGTTTGTATTATTTTCACCATGCCTATCACATTCTCAGACTCTTCATAGAGTAACTATGACCTAGTAAATTATTAATAAAAGACATTCATTCATTCTACAATATCAAATAACTTGCTTCTTAGGAGGAAACCTTCTTTATGATAATAAAAATGATAACGAATCAATTAATGAAAGTGGTAATGAATCTAGATTTTAATTGCAGTTATTCTGTGAAAGTCTTTCAAGATAGTACGAATATTCTGCACACCATTCTGTTTACTTTGGAAATACATTTAATAAAATAGAACCAACTAAACTCCAATTATAATAAAACCTTTAATAAAAAGTGTATAACGTGAAAAAATTTGAAGATCGACATAGTAGTCGGGACCAGAGTTGTACTATTACTATTACCCTGAAATGTCGGCTTAAATTTCGTGAATTTCTTTTTATGAGTATATCCTCATTCAATACAGCGAGTGGCTTGGGATTATGGGTAGAAAATTAACAGGGAAAAGTAATAGAAGCTATTTATTTGTTATCTATTGTTTTTTATTATTTATCAATAACGGCCGTGTAACACCAGCAGATTGTTTAATCATAGTCCCTTTTTTTTAAAAAATAGAAATGTTGTCTAAACACCTAATGCGGACATTTTCCGAAAGGCTTATCCTATCTTACTATTACCTGGGCCGTGGTGAAATAAGTTAACCCTAGGCTGGGCAAATTCCGACGGAAAATTCGCTAAAATCATCCGGGTAAATATCCACCCGGCGAGGTAAAATAGGATAAGCCTATTTTGTACAACTTCCCCTAAAATAAATGCTAACCAATTTGATGGTTGGATGACAATTCTTTATCACCGGATCGTTTAATCATAGATCCGTTTTTTTTTTTGGATTAATGCAATGTTGCATACATGCATACCCTTTAATGACAGTATATTGACGGTTGTAGATTATTATTCTTGCGTAAGTGTAAATTTGTTTTTGAAAATATAAATAATTAATAATTAATACAACTAATTAATAACAATAATATTAACGACTAGAATATTTTTTTTTCTTTTGATGGTCACATAACCAATTAATCATGGGTTCGTTTTTGTTTGAAAAAAAAAAAAAAATAATTAATACAATTAATAGTTATTGGATTTATGTCTCACTATATATTAATTCATCTCTAGGAATTATTTAGTGTGAGGAATACATTGATTGATAACATGAATGTCAGTCGGTTCGTTAACTATAATGTAAGCGTGCAGATACAAAATTCTCAAAGGACAGATTACCTCAGGTTGTTGAAAACATCAAGAAATGTTGACAAATTGTAGTAGATCGCAACTTTTACTTTTTGTGCTTTACCTTCAGGTGAATATCATGGTAGGTATGATTTATTGATTGACTTATGGCAAACCTGGCTTACAACTAATTCTTTCGCTTCAAGAATATGGATAAATACATCGATTTCTTGGTGAAAATTAAACGGACGCGTACAAACTTTCAATTCACATGAATTAATATAAATCATGATTTATTTCATGTTTGTATAATTGATGCAAGAAACAAAACATTGCGTTCACATGGTCTCGTAGGACAATGGGCACGCGAAATTAATTAGTTGGATGCCAACACGGTAACCGCCATCGATTATTTTGAATTTCGAACAAGGGATAAACTACCGATCTCACTCATTTTTTCTGGAGAAACTCAACCCAAAGTCGGGTTTTGAAGCGATAATCAACTGAAGTTGGTGGAGAGTAAAAAGAATGTGTAAACTAATTTAATAAAAAAAAAACTAATGTAATAATATGAAACTTATAAAAAACTAAAATTAAAAACTAGATTGACTAAAAATCAAAAGAAAAAAAAAATAAAGAAACTAAAATTGACTAAAAAATAAATAAAAGGAAAATAAAAAAGAAAGGTAAACTAAACAAATATAATAAAAGTGAGTCTGCATTACCCACGAAGCCTTCTAAAAACCCTCATAGAAGAAGATTCGAATAACGGCAACTTAAGCCAGCAGTCGGCCGATATTTGTAGCCAACACCAGTTTAAGGCACTGGCTTTGGAGTGTATCAATGGTTAATTTTTGTTGCTGTTGTCATCATTGCCGTCACGGTCGTCGTTGTCGTCGTAGGTAGTTGTTGTAGTTTGATAATAAAAAAATTTTTAATATTGATAAATATCAATATTAAATGTTGTTTGTTGTTAAAAAAAAATTTGTTGTTGTCGTTTTTGAAGAAAGAGAATTTTTTAAATGTCTTTTATAACAATTGATTATCTAATAGCGGCTGATTATTAATTCAAGGTAATATTTTAATAAATGAATGAAATATGATTATCTATATTTGAGATTTTGCAAGATTTAATTCATTCTTATCACGTAAATGTCACTACATGTTTAGAATGCCCAAATTATTAATTTCCAAATATTTTGATAATTCAGGATGATCAAAAATTCCCTTCACCTCTTCCGTATTCTTATTTTTTTTTATTTTTTTTATTTTTAACGACGTAATCTTGTTGTGACATTTATTAATTTAAAATTGATTAGAAATATGTAATACATATAAAAAAAACTTGAATTATTTACAATGCACAACTCCCCCCCCGTTTTACCATAGAATAGTATTCGTTTGGAGCGACTTATAATAATTATCAGGTCTCCTCTTTTATTTTCTTGTACTTGTCCCAAGTTTTAAATTGTAAGTATTGGTTGGGATTGTCAGTGAACTTTGCTTGTGTTTTACGTCCATAAATCTTTTTTTTTGTTTGTCCGGTGAAAAGGACACACTACTTCCATTATGCATAAGTCATGATTTTTATCTCTTATAATTACGTTAACTTGATGTCTATGTAGTGATTTTTTTTTATTTTTATTTTTCAAAGATTTATTTTTACGCTTCTTTTGAGTCCATTGATGTGATATCAATGCTTATTATTTAAAAAATAAAATTTTTAGAATTTTGTTTTTCAACAATATGATCAATAATAATAATTCTTATACTTACGGATATGAAAAAATATACTTTATTGTTTTTTGAGGGCATATTTGACGTATATATAAATAAAGTGATTACAAATTGCGATTTTTTTTTATTTTGAATACGAATGATTTTTTTTCGACATATAAAATTTATAGTACTCTGATACTAACACTATAAATTGTGTTAGATCAACATATTTCTTCTTTTTTTAACTGTTTGATCACATATAAATTTTATTAATAAAATGAATAATTTGTAAAATTAAAAAAATTAAAAATTAAACTTTTATTACCGTGTTCTTGCTCGGCATTTTTTTTTTGATATCATCTATTTGAATTATATAAAGCAATCGGTAAAAAAGAAACCAGAAACAACACATTGTGAATTAAATAAGTTAGATGACGATAAAATACATCAGACAAATCTGGTCTTTTTTTTGTGCCTTTAACAGTACGGTTTAGCTGAATTTCATATTCTTTAAATGGTTGATTGAATACATCAAATAAACTGGAAATAAAAGAAGAATTAGAAAATGCTGTTAATAAATCATTAAGACAATAATTTAGGTCCAACGATATTTATGTCCACAAAAAATTAATATATACTAAACTCAAAAGAAAGGAACCTGGAGTTTTTATTTAACAAATAAAAAATAGTTACATTAAAAAATAAGGTTCTGGTTTTGGATATCATATTCAAAAATTAAAGGTGTCCGGAAAGGGTTTATTTGTTATTAATTTCTGTTACCATGTGATCCCCTACCCGTGATTTGAATGATATGTCGATCGTTTTATGAATACCTTCAATTATCAATTTTCTGTTTTTAATTTCGAAAATCATGAGCACCGAAGAAATCTCTTTAGAAGACTTATCAGATTCAGAGATCGTAGATGAGGATGTAATACCGCAGCAACGAATAATAATTAATAATAAAGTATGTTTTAAAAAATTGTTGGTTACGTATTTTTTTGATAATTAAAATAAAATTAACAATCAAAAAATTTTTTTTGTTTAATAAAGTCAGCATTAAAACAAATATATGAACAGATTAAACTTGACTTGCCATGGATAGAAACACAATCAATTACAACTTCTAAGCCGGTGAATATCAATGATGTTGATAATGATGTTGAGCGTGAATTAGAATTGTATGAAAAAAAAATTTTTATTTCCTTTCCCCACACACATATGTACATGTATGTGCGTATGATGTTAAATATATATATTTTTTAAAAAAATAATAGCTATAGACAAGCATTAGAAGGAGCAATCGAAGGACGGGAGAAAGTTATAGCGTCAGGAGTACCATTTACAAGGCCGGATGATTATTTTGCAGAAATGATAAAATCAGATCAACACATGAGAAAAGTGCGAGAAAATTTAATTGATGAAGAACAAAAAATTAAAGCGAGTGAGAATGCAAGACGACAAAGAGAATTGAAGAAATTTGGTAAAAAAGTCCAAGTAGAAAAGGTGCAAGAACGACAAAAGAAACGAAAAGAAGTATTGGAAAAAATCAAAGTTATGAGAAAAAGTAAAATTTTATATTTTAACTTGGATATTAATATGTTAATGTAGGTGATTAATTAATTAAAAAATATTTTTATTTTAATAGAAAGAAAGAATGTCAAAGATAAAGCTTCTTTTGATGATGGATTTGAATAACCTGGCATTTGTTACAATTAATAAACATAAAATACTAAATACTAAATACAAAAAATTAATATTATCAATAATAAAATTATGGCAAATAAAGTTTATAAAATAAAATTGTTTTAATTTTTGAATGGTGATTCGATTGTCAATCCTGCCGATGCTGACACAAAACCAAGGAATGCTGGTGAGGGCTTAAGAGGTCTGCTAAGATATTCTGGATGATATTGTGTACCAACAAAGAATGGATGATCTAAAAATGAAAATAATAATTTAAAATTAACATCATTAATAAAATGGTGATTTATGATTGATGATGATTAATTACTTTGATATTCCATTATTTCCATTCTTTGTCCAGTTTCATCACGTCCAACAAATTTTAATCCCCATGATTCAAAATTTTTAACATACTTAGGATTAACTTCGTAACGATGACGATGACGTTCTTGCACAATACCAGTATCAATCTCTGTCATGTTCATAATTTCATACAATTTGCCTAAAATGGTAGTATTAATGGTAGTATTAATGGTAGCATCATCATCATCATTATTGCTATTACAATTAATAATAATACTATTAATATTATTATAGAACTTACGCATTTTTGACCACAATTCTGATTTTGGTTGAAAGACTGTTGGTCTTAAACCTAGCCTCATGGTACCACCTAGGCAGGTTGTGGAAATTTCTGGCATATTAATTATGACTTGATTAGTGGCTTTTGGATTAAATTCTTCAGAATCTGAATCTTTAAAATAAAAAAGAGATTTAATTATATTAAATATATTTAATATTTGGTAAATTATATATATATATATATAAAGAATTATTATTACCTGTCATCTTACAAACATTACGTGCAAATTCAATTACAGCAATTTGCATACCAAGGCATATTCCTGTTCATTTTATCAATATTAGAAATAGTACATATAGAATTACAGCAACAATGATAATAAAATAATCAAACACCTAAATAAGGAATCTTATTTTCACGTGCCCATTTTGCTGCTGAAATTTTACCCTCAATACCACGATTTCCAAATCCACCAGGAATGAGAATACCATTTGCAGATCTTAAAACTTTCCATGCTTCTTGATATTTATCTGCTTCATCATTCTGTTCCAAATCTGTAGCTTCCACCCACTTTTATTTAAAATATTTATTGTTTTCCCAATTATTATTATTATAATTATTATTATCATTATCATTATTACTACAACATACTTTAATTATTGGTCTTCTTTCACATTTCATTCCAGAGTGTTCAAGCGCCTTTATAATAGAAATATAAGAGTCTTGAAGTGTGGTATATTTACCAACAATGACTATTGTAACAGGTTTTGAAAGGCGATCATGACTTTTTTAAAAAGAGATTAATATTTTTTAGGTATACATAAAAATTTATAATTATAATTGATAAAAATAAATATGATACTCACTCTTCAGTCAACATTATCCATTCTCTCAATAAATATAAACCATTGTTACGACGCTCTTGTTTGATATTAATAGTATCCAGATTAAGCCGTCTAATAAAAAAGGCCAATATTCCTTGTTCTGATAAAAGCAATGGAACATGGTATGTTGAAGATACATCCTTTACTGAAACAACCTTATTTATATTTATTTATAATGAAGAATAATAATGTTATTAATAAGAATAAAATTATTATTTTATTATTAGATACAATATATTATTTTACTAGTATATACTTGTTCTGGTCCAACATGACAAAACATTGATATCTTTCTTCGAACATCGGGATTTA